GGAAGTGTCACCTCCTTGGACCTATTCGTCATGCATCTGCTGATGCACGATAAAGTGCCATTGGCTTTTTTGATGGCTTCGTCACACTGCCAACTCATGTTCATCTTGGAGTCCACTAGGACTCCAAGATCCCTTTCCACTTCCGTGCCACCCAGCAGGTCATTCCCTAGGCTGTAGGTGTGCTGGACATTTTTCCTCCCTAGGTGCAGCACTTTGCATTTCTCCTTGTTGAACTGCATTCTGTTGTTTTGTGCCCACTTGTCCAACCTGTCCAGATCTGCTTGCAGCTGTTCCCTGCCCTCCGGCGTGTCCACTTCTCCCCATAGCTTTGTGTCATCTGCAAACTTGGAGAGAGTACATTTCACTCCCTTGTCCAAGTCACTGATGAAGACATTAAAGAGTATCGGTCCAAGGACTAAACCCTGTGGGACCCCACTTCCCACACCCTTCCAGGTTGAAACCGACCCATCCACCACGACTCTCTGGGTGTGGCCCTCCAGCCAATTTGCCACCCACCGGACTGTGTAGTCATCCAAGTCACAGCCTCTTAACTTGTTCACCAGTATGGGGTGGGATACCGTATCGAAGGCCTTCCTGAAGTCTAAGTATACGACATCCACCCCTCCTCCTGTGTCCAGGTGTTTCGTAACCTGGTCATAAAAAGAAACTAGATTGGTCAGGCACGATCTGCCTGCCACGAACCTGTGCTGGTTTCCCCTCAGCATAATTTGTCCTGCCGGGCTCTCACAAATGTGAGCCTTGATAATTTTTTCAAAGACTTTGCCAAGGATGGAGGTAAGACTGACTGGTCTATAGTTGCCCGGGTCCTCCTTCCTCCCCTTTTCGAAAATGGGGACCACGTTGGCCCTTTTCCAGTCCTCCGGGACTTGGCCCGTGCGCCACAAGCTTTCAAATATTCCCGCCAGTGGCTCTGCAATGATGTCAGCATGAGAACAGGAATCATTTAAATAAGTGTAATTTTATACCAACACCTGCATGTCAAGCACTGAGCAAAGATACCGAACCCAAACTCAAATCCAGGTACTGTAGTGACAATCAAAACATAACATAAAAAGTCAGATGTTACCCTTCCCACATGTTTAATTCACTTAAGATGGGAGTATCAGTGTATTAAGGAAGGAAAAGACAAGCTAAGTGCGCCCAAGTGTCTCTAATTTATACCTCTTCAGGTGAAGAGTATTTTTGGCTGGTGTTATGCAGCTTGTGTTGTGGTAAAGTCAGGCTGCTTTATGGGGCCAATAGGAGCAATTTGTGGTCTTCCAGCATCCCAGGATCCATCACTCTCAGCCCCACTCCCCACATGGATCATCTATCCTCCCAAAATCTACTGCTCCATATGGACAGAGAGCCAGTGACATGGGCAGCTTCAAGGGACTGGAGAGCCCAAGAGAACTGGAAAGCAGCAGTGTGGCTAGGAGTTGTCAAATTTGTCCTGTGGCTCCCTGCCTCCCTCATCTCCCTATGCTGCCTGGCTCTCTGGCAGCTGCCCAGCTCTTTGTCTGGTGTAGTAGAGAAAGTGCAGAGAGCAGGGGAAAGGTCTTACAGTATTCATTGCTAGCAAGATGAGCAACAGATGGAGTTTTCAAAGTGACCCACTCAAACAGAGAAGAAATTGGTTTGCACCCTCTCATTTTCTTTCTTTTCAGAACTTCAATACAAACTTGGCAGCTTCTAGCCCAGTGGTGGGAAAAATACAGCCATGGGTCAGATGTGACCCACCAACTGAGTATATCTGGCCTGTGAGCAGGTGGCCACCAACTCATGGATCTGGCCTGCTGGTGGCTTGTGGCTCTGGCTCCAACCACCATGTGGAACCAGGTGGGTGGGTGGGACTGCTCCCACCCAGTGCTGGCACAGTGGCATCAGCTGTGAACCTGAGTGGATGCTCTGATCCCTACATGGAACCTGCTAGGTATATCCATAACTGATGCCAGTATCTGTCCAGGGCTGCCTCTGCCATGCTGTGTGGGTGATGGCATAAGCTGCAGATAGGGCCGGAAATTTCTGAGTTGGGGATGGAGTTTGAGGCATGCTATGGCTCTGGACAGGGTGAGGGAGGGAGGGAGAGAAAAGAAAGAGAGGAAGATGATCAGGGAATGCTATAGCTTCAGGGAGGGGATGGGGAGAAGAAAGAGACTGAAAGAGTGAGAGAGAGTGAGAGAGAGGATCAGAGTGTGCTACAGCTCCAGGGAAGGAGGGAGTGAGAGAGAGAGATAAAGAAGATGGGGATCTGGGTATGTGATAGCTCTGGAGGATTGGGTGGTGGTGGTGGAGGGAGAGAGATGTGTCTCTCAAGAGGGCACCAAAACTCATGCAGCCTTTGAGAGGACACCAAAACTCATGAAGTGGCCCTGTAGCCAAAATAATTGCCCACTGCTGTCCTAGCCACACCCCTGCTCACTTGCCCTCTAGAGGTAAGTCAGAGCTGTGCAGGTCAGGGAAGGTATTGACCCTTAAGATGAGACTGCTCACAGCATGTTCTAACTTCAATATCGCATAGCATTCCATAGATTTAGCATGCCCGAACTGTAACATGTAACAATATCCAAAGAAGATGCATATGAGCAGAATGATTCAGCAAGGCAGAAGTCAGTAACCAAAGCCTTTTCCCTGAAAGGCTCATGTTTACAACAGGTAAAATAAAATAACCTAGATTGAAAGAAAACAGTAAATAGCTGAATCTTGAGACTTACCACCCACTCTAGATGGAAAATCTTTCTCCCTTCTTGGAGGTATTCTCTCCCCTCCTTGGCCCAAGCAGCCATTCTTAATCACCTGTGTAAAAGGAAGGGGGAATTTAGAAACCATTAACAGCTTGTTCACCAGTGCTTTATAATCTGTATGCAGATTCTTTGGGGGAAAAAAATCATGACAGTGCTTGAAGGATATGATGAAACTCATTTGAGAGTCTTCATGAGGTAAATACATTTTTTTCAGGCCAGTAGTCATTTTTGCTTACTACTAAAGAATATACATACACCCATTCCATCCAGGAAGAGCACACACCAACTGCTGCAGCTTCCTGAGCCTGACGAAGGGTTTTTGAACCCGAAAGCTTGCTTAATAACTATTCTCCAACCATTTGGGTTGGTCTAATAAAAGATATCAAATTCACCCAAGGAACCTTGTCTGCCTACATACACCCAGAGCCTTCAGCCCAGGTGTTGCATGTTCTCTACAAGATTAGAAAGTTTTCAACAGCCTTAACTAATCCTGATGCCCATCAGGGACTAATCTGGTATTCAGGGAAATTCAGAGTAACCTAACAACTCTAAGTGTCATGATAGTTGTAAATTGCTGGTGTACAGGAATCCCCCAGACATGTGTAGGATGGTGGGGTGGATATAGGAACCATTATGATAATCAACTCCACTACTGTGAATTCTCCTAGTAAGAGGATACTGAACTGGTCAGCTTTATTGCTATAATCTGGTCCTTAATATTGATTGCGGCAGGCTCACACTCTCAGTGCCGCTACTTGCCCATTTGGGGTGCACCACACCAGTGTCTACTCACCTACCATGACTTGATGTTATCTAAAGTTTTACCTGGAAGTGTTGTCCAGTGGTTTCTCTCTGCCCTTGGGTGACTTGACTGGTACTACTACTGTACTTCTCCTCCCCTACACCCCAACCCTTTTTGCTTGGGTGGTCCGGATCAGTCTCATTTGCATTTGGGTGTACTGAAGGCACAGTTTGTTCCCATGGAAAGCCTGCTGTCATGATTTTCAG